TGATATTATTTGAGAATAATAATTATTCTTATACCCCCAAAATGGATTTTTGTTAGAATCATTAGCCCAAATGATTAAATGATTCTGTTGATACATTCGAGTAATTAACCGTTTTACAATTAGTAAACTATATTTCTTGTCATAACCTATATTTTCCACAAAAATGGATCTATTCAAATTATGACTATAAGCAAGTCCATAAATATACTCCCTAAAAATAAGTGGGTATAGGAAGTGCTGTTGGCGAGATCTAGCTCGTTCTAAATAGACTTTATATTCCTTCATTTTAGAAATGATATTTGGTCAAAGGATCAGAGATTCATTGGATTATCAAATGATACATAGTGCGATACAGTCAAAACAAGGTATTCTATATCTATATTCGAATTGAAATAAAAAACAAATATGAATAGATACCTAGAAAACGAGTTAAAACACATTAATGGACTATCTCCCCTCGCTTGTTCCTTCTAATTTTTCTAGGACAACAAGCTAGTTAGAAATCCTTTATTTTTTGGGGACCAATCGCTCTTTTGATTTTGGAAAAAAATATCTTTATCAATATACTCTTTCTTCTACACATTTCTTGCTACCCCATAACATAATGGGGAATAGCTAATAATTAGGACTCATAACAAAAATCCTTAATCCATTCGTGGGAAAAACTTTTTCCACAGCAAGCACTAATCCTTTTTTAACGTATAACTAGATGTGGTAATCATTCCAATAAAAAATGAAAGCTCGTTGCTTTTTCTTTCCCTAGAATTCGAGCAGCTAAGCTCTATCCCTTTATTAATTCAACCCAACGGAATTCATTTGTTCCCAGCCAACAATTCAAAGAAAAAGATTGGTCGGATCCAATATGAATGAAAAATTTTTTGAATTCACCGTTGATACGACATGCTGCTTTTTCCATTCATTCCTTTCTGGATCAGTCGTGGTCTTACAAACCCTACCGATGGTATGGATGAACCAATTAGTTCATAGAAATGTGTAAAAAATGGAGTCGCACTTAAAAGCCGAGTACTCTACCATTGAGTTAGCAACCCTAATAAAATTACAAACAAGGATCTGTATATCCAATCGCAATAAAAAAAAGATGGAATTCTATAAATAATAGAATCAAATGTTACATATTACATTATATTACAATACAATGAAAAAAAGAAAAAATGAGAATCAAAAATGATAGACGACTTGTTTAGTACAGTACTGTAGTTATTTGTCTATTAATATAGTTTTAAATTAGTATTATTTTTTTCATATTTCTATTTCAAGAAAAAAAACTTCTTGTTTGTATCAAACAAAATCAAAATACAATGAATCCACCATTTGATGAAGTAAAAAACCTATGTGACATGAGTCAATCCATCCATTGATTCACGATCAGATTATATTTGTTTGATACACTGTTGTCAATATTAGTGTTGAAAAAAAGAATACAATCGAGAAAACAAATAAAAAAATATTTCTATTCTCATTTTTAAATAGAAAATATTTCTATTTTAATTCATTCTATTCCAAATCAAAAAAGAAGAATGAACTAGAAAAAAAATAGATCAATCCGAAAGATCTATAGGATTCATTCTAGATACAACAAGTATTTTTGTATTGTGTATTGTATTCGGCTCAATCCTTTTAGTAAAAGATTGGGCCGAGTTTAATGGAAATTAATAGAACGAATGATTATTACTGGATTACAAAGTATCCATTGCTGGGAATTCAAATTTGATTTCCTTCCAGACTTCACAAGCAGCAGCTAATTCAGGACTCCATTTGCAAGCTTCACGGATAATTGCATTACCCTCGCGAGCAAGATCACGTCCCTCATTCCGAGCTTGTACACATGCTTCCAGAGCTACTCGATTCGCTACGGCACCAGGTGCATTTCCCCAAGGGTGTCCTAAAGTTCCTCCACCGAATTGGAGTACAGAATCATCTCCAAATATCTCGGTCAGAGCAGGCATATGCCAAACGTGAATACCCCCTGAAGCAACAGGGATAACACCTGGTAAAGAAACCCAATCCTGAGTGAAATAAATACCGCGACTTCTATCTTTTTCAATATAATCATCACGTAGTAAATCAACAAAACCTAACGTAATCTCCCTCTCTCCTTCAAGTTTACCTACTACAGTACCAGCGTGAATATGATCTCCACCAGACATACGTAAGGCTTTAGCTAATACACGAAAGTGCATACCATGATTTTTTTGTCTATCGATAACTGCATGCATAGCACGGTGGATATGAAGAAGTAGACCATTATCGCGGCAATAGTGAGACAGGGTAGTATTTGCAGTGAATCCACCTGTTAAGTAGTCATGCATTACGATAGGAACGCCCAATTCTCTAGCAAATACAGCTCTTTTTAGCATTTCTTCACATGTACCCGCAGTAGCATTCAAATAATGTCCTTTGATTTCACCTGTTTCGGCCTGTGATTTATAAATTGCTTCGGCACAAAATAAGAAACGGTCTCTCCAACGCATAAATGGTTGGGAGTTCACATTTTCATCATCTTTGGTAAAATCAAGTCCCCCGCGGAGACATTCATAAACTGCTCTACCATAATTCTTAGCGGATAAACCCAATTTTGGTTTAATAGTACATCCCAATAGGGGACGTCCATACTTGTTCAATTTATCTCTCTCAACTTGGATTCCGTGAGGAGGACCTTGGAAAGTTTTAACATAAGCATTAGGGATTCGCAAATCTTCCAGACGTAGAGCGCGTAAAGCCTTGAACCCAAATACATTACCTACAATGGAGGTAAACATGTTAGTAACAGAACCTTCTTCAAAAAGGTCTAAGGGATAAGCTACATAAGCAATAAATTGATTATCTTCTCCAGGAACAGGCTCTATCTCGTAGCAGCGTCCTTTATAACGATCAAGGCTGGTAAGTCCATCGGTCCACACAGTTGTCCATGTACCAGTGGAAGATTCTGCAGCTACCGCTGCACCTGCTTCTTCAGCCGGAACTCCTGGTTGAGGAGTTACTCGGAATGCTGCCAAGATATCAGTATCTTTGGTTTGATATTCAGGAGTATAATAAGTCAATTTATAATCTTTAACACCAGCTTGGAACCCAACCTTTGCTTTAGTTTCTGTTTGTGGTGACATAAATCCCCCCCCTACAACGCATGAATTAAGAATTATAGCAAGAACAAGGTCTACTCGACATAACTTAGGAGTTAAGAAAACCTTTTTACAAATGATCCATCAACTAATATTATCAATTAATCCGAATGGGTCATTGTTCAATTTTACCATGATATTTGATTTGGCAAATACATCATTATTCTATACTGTTTCATATGTATGGCGCAACCCAACCGTTTTTTTTTGAGTCTCTTATTTTTTTTTTTTTGAATTTTGGAATCTCATTTTCTAATCTAAATAATAAAAAATATACTCTTGACCTTGACAGTGATATATGTTGTATATGTAAATCCTAGATGTCAAAATCGGCAGAATTTGCCCAATAAAAAGAAAAATTGGTAAAAAGAATCTGCATAGTATAAATCCTATGCTGAGGAAAGAAAAAAGAAGGACCAATGAGATAGAAAAACGGAATCATAAACAAACAAAGTTCAGGTTCGAATTACATAGATAATATAGATAGTATTGTCTATAATCTAGAATGATAAACAAATGAAAGACTTTCAAAAGATTTCATCCAATTAAAATTTTCATAATGACTGGGTTGACCTTGAAAATTCACTCATTGAAATTTAAAAACAATTGAATTGGTTGGATGGTACCAAGAAAATCGATTATTAACTTACATTTATTCTTTTATATATTATTAAATATTAAGAAAATTAAGAATATTAACCGATCAACTTGCTTTGTTATCAAACAGTTTTTTCTTAATTTCAATTTTTTTTTTTCAAAAAAATGGATATTTTTTAATATGACAATAACTCCTCCTCCTTCTGATACTGAGGTTTCTGCACTTGAAAAAAAAAATCTGGGGCGTATCACGCAAATAATCGGTCCGGTACTCGATGTAGTTTTTCCACCAGGGAAGATGCCTTATATTTACAACGCTCTGATAGTTCAAGGTCGAGATACGGTTGGCCAACAAATTAACGTAACGTGTGAAGTACAGCAATTATTAGGAAATAATAGAATTAGAGCTGTAGCTATGAGTGCTACAGATGGTCTAAATAGAGGAATGGAAGTGATTGACACGGGAGTTGCTCTAAGTGTTCCAGTCGGTGGAGCAACCCTAGGTCGAATTTTCAACGTGCTTGGAGAGCCTATTGATAATTTGGGTCCTGTAGATACTCGCACAACATCTCCTATTCATAGATCTGCGCCTGCCTTTATACAGTTAGA